GTTTGACCTTGAGCGCTTCTGGGCTGTTGAAGATTTCGACTCTCTCAGTGCGACACGCCCCAGCAACGATCATGCGTATGACGACTTCCTCCAATCGGTCGTGTTTGAGGACGGACGGTACACCGTCGGGTGGCCTTGGCGACAACAACATCCGCCTTTGGAAAACAACTTTCCACTTGCTTTCGGACGTTTGAAGTCACTCATTAAACGTCTCCGTCACGAGCCTGATACCTTCGTCAAGTACAGCAAGGTACTTGAAGAGCAACTGTCACTTGGTATCATCGAACGCGTTGCTTGTCCCAACCAGAGAGACAACTCGCATCCAATCCACTACTTGCCACATCACTGTGTGCTCAAGCTGTCCAGCAGCACCACTAAGATCCGTGTCGTGTACGACGCATCCGCTCGTGTATCGAAGACCTCGCCCAGTCTCAATGATTGTCTGTATCCTGGGCCGTGCATGATCCCTGATCTCTGCGGCATTCTCCTGCGTTTCCGCATGCACCCTATTGCCGTCTGTAGTGACATCGAGAAGGCGTTCTTGCAGATGAATTTGAACGTAGCCGATCGTGATGTCACTCGTTTCTTGTGGTTGGATGACCCCAACCAACCAGTCAACTACAGCAATCTCCAAACTCTGCGTTTCTGTAGAGTCCCTTTCGGTGTTGTTTCCAGCCCTATCCTGCTGTCTGCAACGATCAAGTACCACCTCACGCAGACCTGTTCACCGGAGACAGACGACATTCTCCGAAACACGTACGTAGACAACATCATCCTGGGCAAGGACACCATCAACGATGCTGTCGCTCACTATCAATCAGCAAAGGCGACGTTCTCCGCAATCAGCATGAACCTTAGAGAGTGGGCATCGAACTCTTCCGAAGTTTTGGACAAGATCCCAGAACACGATCGCTCAAGAAGCACTCGCGAGAAATGCCTTGGTCTCCATTGGGACCCCAGAGAGGACGTCTTGTCCGTACAGTCGCCTAATGCAGCTAACCTTGTTGTCACTACGAAACGCCAGGTTCTACAGGCACTGTCTCGCTTCTTCGACCCGCTTGGCTTGTTCGCCCCCGTGTCCATCAGAGCGAAGGTTCTTATGCAAGATATCTGGAAGCTTGCTGTGTCATGGGATGACCCACTGCCCTCCGACGTCCTCAGTCGCTGGCACCCAATAGCCGCCGACCTTGACGAGTCTAGCAGCTATCCGATCTTGCGCTACGTCGGTGTACCCACATGTAAAAGTCCGTCGTATCAGTTGCATGTCTTCTGCGATGCGTCAGCGATCGCCTATGCTGCCGTTGCGTACTTGGAAAGCACTGTCGGTGACAAGAATCAGCGGCACATCATCTTCAGCAAGACGAAGGTGTCTCCCGTCAAGGGTCAAACGATCCCACGGTTAGAGTTGATGGCGGCAAGCCTAGGATCTCGCCTTATCGTGTATCTACGCAAGCAACTGGACATCCAGTTCCAAGCCACTCATCTGTACACCGACTCAACGACTGTACTCCATTGGCTCAAGTCCACGAAGCTCCCCGTCTTTGAGCAGAACCGCGTCAACGCCATCGCAGCCGTTCCAGACGTTCTCCACCACTACGTCCCGACAAAGCTGAATCCAGCCGACCTGCCATCCCGTGGATTGAGCGCCGCAGCCTTGTTAAAATGCGACACCTGGTGGAACGGCCCCAGCCTGCCGATTGAAGGCACCACTGCAGCAACCGTCACTGTTGCGCCGGCGGAGGGTCCTCCGGAAGTCACCTCAAAGGGGTCGGGGGGTCAGCCATTTGGTCAGGGTTCACAGACAAATAAAAAATCTGATGTATTCCCATATGGCATTGTTGTGAACGACTTCTCGTCGTTCGACTCTTTAGTGCGTGTGTCTGCACTTTGCTTTCGTTTCCTCTGTAGGCTGCGGAAGAAACCAACTCCATCTGGACCTCTCACGCCTAGAGAAATCGAAGCAGCAGAGCAAGTCTGGATCAGCCACAGCCAGTCTGCACACTATGCAGATGTTATCACCGCTCTGTCCAGTGGGAAGCAACATCCGCTGGCAACTAAGCTCAACTTAGTGCTCGACAACGGAGTACTGAGATGCCGTGGAAGACTGGAGAATGCTGACCTCTGCTCCAAATCGAGGTTTCCCGTCCTGATCTCCAAGGAACACGCCATTGCCAACCTGATCATACGTGATTGCCACCTCAAGGTCATGCATGGCGGCGTAGCGCACACACTATCCCGTGTCCGATATCAGTTTTGGATCCCGAAAGGCAGATCAGCTGTAAAGGCCCTCGTGCGCCGCTGTCAGACGTGCATTCGCTACGAAGGCGCGCCATACAAGACACCTCAGATGAGTCCGCTACCTTCTACCAGAGTGACCCAAGCGCGACCATTCTCACACATCGGCCTGGACTACTTTGGCCCAGTCCTCGTCCGTACACAGTCAGAAACCGCTAAGGCATGGGTCTGCCTGATCACGTGCATGGTGACCAGAGCTGTTCATTTGGAGCCAGTCCACGACATGACAGCTGCCGAGTTTCTGCTCGCATTGAGACGTTTCGTCGCCCGCCGTGGCACGCCAGAGCTAGTTGTGTCTGACAACGCTCCCCAATTTAAGCTGGCCAAGTCCGCTCTTGACATTGCCTGGAGCAACATTGTGGTGGACACCAGTGTTACGTCCTACATTAGCCGCCATCAAATCCAGTGGCACTTCATCGTTGCCAACTCTCCGTGGATGGGTGGAATGTATGAAAGGCTTGTGGGTATTGTCAAGCGTTCTATGCGCAAGACCATTGGGAGACGCCTCCTCACAACCAGCCAACTCGCCACTCTCCTGCCAGAAGTTGAGTCTGTCGTCAATTCTCGGCCGCTAGTCTATGTCGACGAAGAACAGTGCACAGTGTTGACGCCTGGTCATTTTATCAGCCTGTCTGCCACACAGGGGTTCTTCACGGTCAGCAACGACCCGACCGACCCGGATTACCAGCCTATCAATTCCTCTGCAGACAGCCTGTTGGACCTTTGGAAGAAGGGCCAACAACATCTTGATCAGTTCTGGCTCGCCTGGAGGAACGAGTACCTCCTCAGTCTGCGAGAAGCCCACACGTCATCGTTCAAGCAGTCAAGGACTCGATCCTCAACGTTTCCGAAGCCTGCTGACGTTGTCCTCATCAAGGAGGAATTACCTCGCGGCCACTGGCGCCTTGGGCGAATCCAAGAAGTCCACACCAGCAGTGATGGCAACATCCGCTCTGCCACCGTCCTCACTTCGGACAAACGTACCATCAAGCGGCCAGTAAGCTTACTGTGTCCGCTTGAGACCAGCTGTTCCTCGGAATCCCCAGGTACCCCAGCTCAGGAGACCAGCAGTTCCTCAGAATCCTCAGCTACCCCAGCTCAGAAGACTAGCACTCCCGTTGCAGTCGTACGAAGACCGACACGAGCCGCTGCCAGCAAGTTTCAGTCCAACTTGCAGGATTTGATCGCCGACGGCCGTGTTTAACTCTCTTTCTCTCTCTCTCTCTCTCTCTCTCTCTCTCTCTCTCTCTCTCTCTCTCTCTCTCTCTCTCTCTCTCTCTCTCTCTCTCTCTCTCTCGCTCGCTCACTCTCATTGCTCTCGCATTCTTTATGCTCTTCAGTAATATCTTTCCACATGTTTTGTGTGAAATTTCTCCTTGTTATTAATATTATGGTTAATTCTGTTCTCCGGCCAGTGCCCGGGGAGTGTCGTGAATATGCATCACGAATCCGCGTTACGCTCATTATTATGTCTTTATTTGTTTATGTGTTACATCATGTTGACGTCATGCTGATGTCTTGCTGCACGCATCGCGTGCACCGTTTTGCAGCTCTCAGCCCGGAGCATGCGCAGCGAGCCTGTGGCTCCTTTTTTGCTGCCTTTTCCCTTTTGCATGCTTCACTTGTCTTCACTTGTCTCAACTAACTAGAACTTGTCTCAAATAAGGTTTTCTGGTGACACTCCTTTTCAAGTCACCTAATCCTTTCAAGTAACAAGTGCAATGTCGTTCCGTGAACCGGAACCACTCCATATTTGAGTTACCAAGACGTATTTGTGCGTGGCTATCCAAGCTCTCCCACTCAACAGTTCAAAGTTGCGCACACCTTTTCTTGCACCTCTTCGACCTGGATCCGGATCCTGCTGTGGACTTGGAGTTCGTTGAGAAAATTCTGAAATGTACATGTACGTCGTTTGAGGCTTTGAAAGTTTGAGAACAGATTTTCGATTTCTTCACCATTACTTTTCTTGTGGTGCGATGCCGGATACATGTACATCCAAGACCGGAAACAATTATTAATGTAGGTTTCATTTTACCTTCCGTTTGTTTTCAAGGTGCCTGTGCTTGCGATGCTCCCTGAGCTCTTCGAACAGTTGGTCGACGAAGGCCGGCTCACATCATCAATGCCGGTCCTGACTTCGGAGAGAAGAGACAAGTCCGTGCAGGTAGGCAGTAGCTTTTTGGTGTATTGACTGTTGAATTCGATTATTCTGTACATGCTCGTCGCCAGTAGAGTCCTCCGTTTTTTCAAGCCTGTTGCTTCTTTTGGTGACCGGTGTGTCTGATGGCGATTTTGTCCATCTACCATCGATCGCACCACAATGACAACCTGCTCCGGAGAAGTGAAGGACTCAACTGACGAACGGGCATGCGCAGAGTGATCGGATTCAGCGGGCAATACACTGAAAGTTATTGCCCGCCTGAGCGGGCAATACCGAGAAATACAGACCGCTTGCGGAGGGCGCTGATTGGCCGTAGTACGGACAACCCTCACGTGACATGCAATAAAAGACTTTACGGTATATGGCTTCTGTGCTTCGTGTGCTGAGTAAGTATATATCGGTAATCATCTGAATGGAGTGTCAGGGACCATAGCCAAAGTTCACAGAAGCCCACGAAATCCGTTGGGGGGGGGGGGGGGGTCTAGCCGAAAATTGCTAAACAGCAGGTTTCAGGAGTGTGCATGCATGGTGCGAAACCTGGATGGCAACAGTACCTGTATGTTCATTTAATGGGAGGGGGGTCTCATCCGAAACTTATTTCGTTCGGTTCGTGGTCTTCTGCAAACTTTTGCCATGGTCCCTAAGGCGACGATACACCAGGGGCATCGGAACCGGTGCGGCATGTACAGCCAATGCCGCACCAATAATTTCATCTTGCGATTTTTGAAGCTATTTGGGCCCAATTTTCCACAATCTGCAGCCCAATTTTCCAAAACATTCCCGGAGGACGGCCCGCATACCCCCCCCCCCCCCCCACACACACACACACTTATCAATGGCCGCACCAATGTCGAATACCTTCCAATGCACGACACACAATGCACACTCACTTTGGACATGGAACATTGACCCAGTCATCAAGTTTGGCTAGAGGTGATCCACCACGGCCCTGCAGCTTGACATCTGCTGGTAGAATGACTGGCAACTGGTCTTCTGGGATGGGCACAGGCTGTGTGACAGGCACAACGCACACACACATACACGCGCGCGCACGCACACACAGACACAGACACACACACAGACACACACACACACACACATACACACACACACACACACACACTACTACTACTACTACTATGTACAGCTACCCTATCGGGCCACGCCGCTCCCAGAAGCGGGAGACAACGACAAGAAGAGAGAAGAGAAGAGAGAGAAATCGCAAAGTCAACAATATTTGGCATGGCGTTGCAAGTCCTGTGGCCTTGAGAACCGTCTTTCGCAATGCTCGCATTCATGACGGCAGTTGTTCCTGGCTGCACGTGACATCCGTTTCGCACGATCACAGTGATGACGGCTCAAACCAGAACGAGAGCGGAAAGAGCGGCGACAAACATCACATCGCAAAGAGTCAGATTCATGGCGAATGAATACAGTGGGGACATCCGTGGACACAGGACAGCGATGCACAGCCAGTCCTCCAGCGCTCCTCAACCACCGCATGCACTTCATACATTGCCTGGCACCCTTCTGTTGTGACACAGGCAACTTCCGCTGGGCAATGCACTTGTGTCGGGCCATGTCGTTACGGCGGCGGAAGTCTCTGGCACACAGCAAGCAGCGCAAAGGTGGCGAATCATCTGTGTGCGGTGGTGGCTCAGCAAGGAACATCCTCCAGTTCTGCCGGTCTTGGGCATTCTGAAACCAGGAATCCACGCCAGCTGCCCTCATGTCTCTCTGGACAACGTCTTTCCAGCGCCGCCGGGGACCACAAGGAGGGCGACGACCACTCAACCTTCCAAACAAAATCTGGACGGGAGCACGGTCTGCAGGCATGCGCGCGACGTGCCCGAGCCATTCCAACCGCCGACGCCGAACAAGGTCTGACACCGGTGTAGTGTCACCCCAGCGCGCACGGAGCGTTGCCGATGAGATTTTCTCCTCCCATTGCTGACGCCGAGATACACATAAGATGGAGCGAATGCACCGGTGGTGAAAGTTGTCCAGCAGATCCAAGTCGTGCCGAAGCGGAGCCCATGACTCAGCACCGTAGAGTAAAACCGACAGAACACAGGCTGTGTACAAATGACGCTTTGTTGCCACCGTCAAGCTGGTATCCCGGAACACTGGTAGGAGGCAGCCAAACGCCTTTGCCGCATTGGCAATCCGTCGCTGGACGTCAGGTGAGGATCGGGTGTCTGGCGTGATGAGGGAGCCCAAGTACACAAACGATTCAACATACGAAATGCTGTCGCCACCCATGTCCATCGGCATCCTGTCCTCCGGGGAAATACCAACACCAACTACCATGAATTGTGTTTTCGACGAACTGACGGACAAACCAAACGAGGATGCAACACGATGAAAAGTCTGAAGCGACTGCTCAGCCTCAGCCCGACTCATTGACAACAAAACGGCATCATCTGCAAATTCAAAGTCGTGGAGTTGCACTTGAAGGGTACCCTTAGCACGGGAGTAAAGCTGACCATTGATGTTGTAGGACAGTGATATACCAGAATCAGTGCTGGCCTGACGCATCGCATCTCTCCAGCACATCATAACAACACCAAAGAAGAGATTGAACAAAACCGGAGCCATGGTGCATCCCTGGCGCAAACCATTTTCAACAGGAAACGAGCCACTGACTTCAGCACCAACACGCACCTCTGCTTCCATGCCGCAATGGAACTGCAGGATTAGCTCTGTGAGTTCCTCAGGTACGCCCAGCTTGAGGAGGCATGCAGCGAGAGCAGGGCGCGGCACGGAATCATACGCTTTTCGTAAATCCACGAAAACGAGGTAGCCCTTCTGACGATGCTCATAAAACTTCTCTACTAGTTGGCGTATACAAAAAGTTCCATCCGTGCAGGATCGTCCACGGCGAAAACCGCACTGCGATTCCGGCAGCACCTTCTCAGCAAGCTTCTGAAGACGGGATTGCAGGACACGGCCCACCAGTTTCCCTACAACATCAAGCAGCGATATTCCCCTCCAGTTATCAAACCTGGAAAGGTCTCCCTTCTTCGGAATTGGTACAAGGACTGCGTTACGCCACTCAGCAGGTACAGTGCCACTAGTCCAGATTGAGTTCAACAGGTCGATGAGATAGGGGCATATGGTGCCGAACGCAGCTTTAAGCAACTCAGCAACAATTCCGGAACCTCCAGCCGCTTTGCCGTTAGCCATGCACACACACACACACACACACACACACATTGACAAAACAAACAAAAGGGTTAGTGAGGGAGTCGAAAATCTATAAACTTGTGAACGGTACGCACAGAGCCCCAAAATATTCATTAGTTTGAGGGAAAGTTGCAAACGGGAAAAAGCCTGACAAAAACTTGACTGTCACCACCAGGATTTGAGCCAAGGACCATCCATCGCTTATGTCTTGCGATGCCCTACCACTAAGCTATCATCATCCAAGCATTCACCGGGCCCGTACTTACCTGCGGACAGCTGCTGCAGTGGATGATGGGGATCGGCGTGCCCCAGTAGCGCTGGCGCGACACCAGCCAGTCGCGTAGGCGCGTGAAGCGTGCTGCGTAGGCGAAGCCTTGCTCCTTAGCACCAGCAAGCAACACAGGTTGTCAGAGTAAACAGAACAAAGAAATTAACAAGTTTTCAGTAAGCATTATAATTATGAGAGTAACACAATCATGCAAAACCTAGGGGGGGATCCATCAAATTAATATCGATATTTTCCATGTTTCGCTTTGCTGAGGATGTGCTGTGGCAATGAGTCAAGGTCGGCTGGAGAGAGCAGTTATGGTATGGTGGTTGATGAAAAAACTAACAACTTTCGTTTATGGGTGGGTCAAGACAAGGAGCATGTATAAAATACCAATAAACTGACAGGTGGACTGTATACTAGGTTTCAATCAACAACATGGATGCGGCTAATGGGGTTTCTCGCCACTTGTGCCAGTGGTTGTGAGACTTATCCACTCACCCCCACCGCTAGCCGCTGCATCTGCCGCTAGGGTTTACCGGGTGTGCGGCCGTTGTGAGTTCACTTCGGGAACGGAAACGATAATTTACTGTTTTACTTTTAATCTTCGCCTCCAGGGTGAGTAAGGGTAACTAAACTTTTTCGTTTAGTGAGAATTATCGACTATGCCGGATGGTACCTAGGCCGACAACCGTTCCAGGGTCCTTACAATCCGATTGCCACACGTAGACAGACGGTTCCCCTTGTCCAGGGCACTGATGAGGCTTTAGGGGCTGCTCGAACAGCTATTTATCTTGAAGTATCTTCTGCATATAATTGGACAGGAAACATGCTGGGGCGCCGGTGGCTCAGGGGATCATATGCAGACAGCAAGACGAATTCTTTGTCAAAACGTTCCAAATGAGAGTCCCCCGGCCCGACTCAGCTGAGTGCTCATTGTTCATTTGAATAGAGCATTCGTACACCCAAGTCACGGAGCACCACATATCATCCGGTTGAAACTAATAGTTTCATGCCCCAAGGTACACAGCGTTGCTCAGTGAAATCCAGTCACGGTGTCACTCAAGAACGTGCCGGGCGTTGCACAGCCCAGACCTGCGAACACTGGGCTGCGAAATGATGCGAGGCGCAAACTTGAGTGACGCGACTGCATTTCACTGAGTAGCACTGTAGCTAGAAATGAGCCCAAACCCCCAACTTACCTCTCCGTATTTGGCTATGGCAGTGTCCGTATCCTTGCTGTCGGCGTCCATGCCATTGAACTGGAACAACGCAGAGAAAGAAGGAGACAGTCATCAAGAGAGGTCAAATGTCGGTGAAAGTTACGTGCATGCACTCATAGTCTCGTACCACCGTTCATCCGGGCAAATCCAGGCAGTCTGATACCACACGCTGCATGTAAGACTGAAACATCCATCACTCAGAATCATGCACACATTTTGATGCGAGAAGATTCAGCAACGTGGCAAACGGCATTACTATAAAACATGTTATTTCCGGTGTAACTTTAATTTTGTCAAAGCAAGGATTGCTCATACAGTGTACTGTGCACTCAGCTATTCATACTGTAAATATACAAAATTTCGGCGCTGCAAAATTTCGGCACTTCACGATTTTTGACATTTCGGCGGCGATTTATTTTCGGCGTGGGGTAGAGGGCATGGTATTGCGACAGATGCTGTGAAAAATTTCATCGGCGTTTTAATTTAGGCGTTTTGGGTCGGTGCCGAATATAGCCGAAATTAAATAGCTGCCGAAAATTTGTATATTTACAGTATCACCTAGTACCAGCATAACACCATCCAACAACCCTGCACAGCTGAGCTGCTGAGCTGGACAGTATCATTCCAGCCAGGGAGTAGTAAAATACCGGCATTTTACGACTCCCTGATTCCAGCCCACCTCCTTCTCTCACCTGTCCGGCATTGATGAGTTTTTCCTCCTGCACTCCGATCTCAATGGGTATATTGTGCTCGGCTGCAAACATCTTGTCCATGTCATTGCGACCAGGAACAGCTACAACAGACACATGTAGAAGAATAGCAAACAGAAAAGCTATCAACTCGGATGGAGAGCCAATGATTTAAATT